GCACCTTTGAAATCCTATCATTAACCAATATGATGTTATTGTCATAACCGAGGTTAAAGCTCTCTTAAAAAAGGATTTGTCAGTCAATGTTTATCAGGCTTCCTAAAATTTTGGTTTGTAGTTAAAAAAGTCATGAAAGGCTATAATGGAAAAATTTTCCTCGAAAATGATTGGAAAGTTGCTCGATGACTTTCAAAAATGGCAAATTATTACAGTCAACATAACATTTCATACAAAAGACCATTGTATAAAAAGTCTTTCATTGTATAAAAAGACTTTTTATACAATGAAAAGACTATATAATCATTTCAGAGGCTTAACTCGTCATATTTGATCATTTTATGGTACTCAGTAATCAGTAATTACAAAGTTAGGACATTAATGGCCGTTTCCACCAATTATTTTAGGGAAGCCTTAACGATAAGTATTCCCTAAACTGACATTTCTCCGTGGAAAACTGTTAGTTTAGGAAATACTTATCGTTAAGGCTTCCCTAAAATAGTTGGTGGAAACCAAGGTAAATATTATTAATAAAATAAGAGTACTCACGAGTACTTATCTAGTTACCCTATGTAGGTATCGAAGTTTGCCACAAAATAAAAAAATTGACAAGCTCCTACATATAAAATAAATGTTGTAGGTCCATCAGATTGTGCTGCTAGCTAACCTTCCATATGGTATTTATGAAGAGAAGATCAAAATCCGAACATTTTTGAAATACCAAAACCAAAAAGGACCGAAGAACCGAAAAAATCTGTCCAAAATTAATGACCGTATAAAAAGAGCGTGTGACTTGACCAGGTCAACAAAAAGAGCCACTAGAGACAATTTGTTAAGAGCAGTTTTCTTTTGAAAAATGGCCTTTTTTGCTATGATTTATTGTGTTGGCCTTTTTCAACACGAAATTTTAATTTTCGTGGGAGACAAACCTGATTTTCAAATATTAACCTTTCGGACAGTAATCGATTTTTTTTTTTAGGAAGACAGGTAGAAATTATATTATGTACACATGAGCATATACCTATACCGGTTAACAAATGCAACCATATTAGGTACCTACCAAACTTAGTTCATTTCAGCAAAAATAATCGATTAGGGAATAAATAGATATTAGAAACAAAACAATAGGTACCTACTTACAAACTTTCCATCAAGAGTAAAAATGCTTATTTTTAATTTGTCGAAGTGGCAAATGAAAATCCAAAAACTTCAATTTTTTGGTTACAATAAGAAATTAATTTATCACAGGATTTTAAGAGAATATTTGCATTATTATTATCCATACCGATTGTTATAAAAGGCTTTTCTAAGAGCTTTCTTTGTGTTTTTTTTTTGCTTATGACATCATTCAAAAATGACAAATCGATATGACATTAGAAAATTACAGCAAAATATTGCTAAGGCTAAGACATACGTTCAAAAAAATCATAACCATCTTTGATTTCCTTTTTTTTTGAAGACCATTAGCATAAAGCTTACTCAGAATTTTAGCTTCATACAACACAATTATTAAAATTTCAAATGGAAAAAAAAAACTGGAATCAGCTTACAATTTCATAAAGTTGATCGAAAAAATTTCCAGAAAATAGGGTCATCATAATATGAATTAGGTAGAAATCAGGCTGACTAGGTACTACACACAAGTTCAAAAAACCTAGAGAACATATTCGTGAACTCAGATGAGGTGAACCTGACAACATTTTTTTCTTGACACAATTTGTGGAAATTTTTGGCTCTCTCCCACATGCATGATTGGATTTTGACGAGAGTTCTTCAAGAAATAAATAACACTCATACAAATAATACCAATAAAGTCTGATGCAGAATTTGTCAATGTCAATCTCATTTCTTACTCACAGTATTTGTGCCGCCACCTCTCCGCAAAATTACCGAAACTAATTTATTTCAAACTTGCAGCGGAAGAGCGAAAAGCGAGCCAAGTATTGGTGGCGCCCTCTGTTTAAAACAAGACGAACTGCTGATTACAGCTTGAATGTCGCTGCAAAACTATGGCAGGATTTTGAAGGAAACTGTGACATTGTTGAAGCATTTTCAGGCAATTTGTCTATAGATGTCACTGAGTACTAAAAAATATTGAACCTTGATAGTTCTTTAGGAGGCAACGTGCTAGAGGTGGAATTATTATTTTGTATTGGTACTTATAATGTAAAAGTCTAGATGGCACTCGCAGGACAATAAAAGTACCTACAGTGACTCTATTAAACCACAGTGGCGACAACTACTGTCCTATTTTTGATTGGTTCTTTAAAATCCTATATATTCATATGGAAAACACTGCCATTTTGTGCCCTATCTCTTTTTAATTTTAAATATGAATATATAGGATTTAAATGGACATCTATTATAAGAAATTGAGAACAACGAACAACGTATTTGATGACTATTATAAGGTACATCAAATGTGTTGTTTTCAATTTTTTATGATGGATGTCCATCTAAATCCTATTATAAACATATTTGAAATTCGGGGGAGATGGGGCACAAAATGGCGGCGGGACCTCTATTGTCGCCACTGTCTGTAGAGGTTTATTTAGTCACTATAAATAAAAGGAGGATTTATAACTTATTAAAACAGTGGCGCAGCTCACTTCCTAGAACCTATTTATTATAGTTAGTTCATTGGTGTGCCTACATAACAAGAAAAATTAACGAAATATTGATAATACTGCAAACAGATAATTGGTAAAATCTTTTACTTTTGCCTAAATGGGTAGTATGATTCAAAAAAATACACCTCATGAAACCCAGAAACCCATTGTTTAGCCAGAGGATTTTGCGATTGAGCGGCCGGTAAGAACAGATCAAGATTTTCGGGTGGGTTTTCTTGAAGAAGTTTGAAAAAATTATGTATGTTTGTACGAATGGAGGCGATTGAAAGTGTTGGGTCACTCTGTAAGGGGTTTTTACATAAATTTAACTACTTGTAGGTATGCCAAGTGACTCTCGATAGTATAAAGGAAAAAGAACTGATGATGAAAAATGAGAATTAACTATAATAATATATTATATAATAAGTTCAGAACTAACGCACAGGGTGCGAGTGCGATTTTATGGGTGTACCTGAATTGGTCATTGAGCCCATAGCACCGTCTAGCATTTTTGAACAGCTAGGGCGTCGTACCGGTGTCACACTCACACTGGGTGTGTCATTCCTGAACTCGCCCCTGGCCTGGCAACAGCCCACAACATTAAGTTGACAAGTTGTCAGTTGACAGTTTAGCTTGGGGAAGGAAGTAGTGAGCATTTTTAATCTCCAAGAATGTATTTTTTATATTTCAATAAAACCAAGTTTGAAGCAGTTTTGTCTGGATTATCCAGACAAAAATAGTTCACTTACTCTTCCCCAATAAGTCAGTTTCACTATCAGAAAATAATTTTAATTGAGTACTAAAATTTCCAATTTATTTTTTCATAAAATTACCCCTAAAATATCCAAAAATACCATTATTGCAGTCAATAAAATGCAAAACAAACCAGACACCCGACCATTTTTAAATTTGCCTAGTGAAACATTAATAGCCACGATTATCTTCGCCCTCCGGTTCTGCTTAGCGTCTTTTATTTTTGGGAAAAAAATTCAAGTAGTTAGCACCAGATCACCTTTTAAACTAAAAGCTTTTGGCATTAATGAAGATTATCTGACGCGCGGGAGATAGCTCAACCCTTTTCATTAGCCTCTGTAACCTGTGTAAGTTGTAGGTGATGGTGGATTATAATCCGTGGATAAATATAGCAGAAGAGAAAATGGAGGACATCCAAAATGTGAATGACATTATTCTGTAAATCATATATGTAAAGGAATATTCATCTTAACTAAATAGGATAAGAAAGAACTTGCGAAAATCAGATGGAATTGACTTATTTAATTTGAAATCAGGAGGCCAACTGCATTCTAAAGGTAATACGAAAAAGATAGGGTTGGTATAGGATCTATCAGAAGAGAAGGCATAGAGGCAAAAGTGAAAACAAGTTTCTTTTAGAGCTGGATTCATCAATCAGAATATCATTGGGAGGCTATCACTGAAGCTAACTCAGGTCTATGGCTTCGACCTCCACAGCAATGACGAAGATCCGGAAATTCTTCTTCTAGAGCTATAAAGAGACATACATACTTAAGCAGAGCAACGAAAGCTATTTCCATGGACGACAAAGAAAAACAACAAAAACAAGGAAGAAATGAACAAAATCGCCTCAGCAGTTGGTCGCTTCTAGGTACAGTTCAAAGCAAGATCCTCTCTTAGAGACATAAATCAGGAACCAGCGAAAAATACATTTTGAAGAATTTTCAATCGAGGAACTGAATTAACAATCCCAGGAGAAGATGGAGTGAGAGTTGGAATGCTAAAATTTGATACTGAAGAGACTTTAATCCATTTTAGCTCACGATACAAACAGCTTATCCATAAAAATGTCACATTGGCAATCCCATTTCAATCTGTTTCGGAGAGCTACAGTTGATGACTAGTGACTGGTAAAGAGCTTCGTTAGAAATGGGCATTAAGATGCAATAACAGAACAATAGATACCAAAGAAAAAATTCACCATTTAAAACTCTTTTTTTGGAAACAAGTGAATCTACTTAGGACTCTGAAACTTGACAATGATATGACAATGATGACAAATGATTTAAGGATGACAAACTTGGACATTTTCAAAGAATAATATCGACTATGACTTAAAGGGCCATGTAGCCGATTATGCGGAACATAAGACTTTCGGACAAGAAGAAGAACACTTTGCTAAGTGTGAAATTCAGGTCGGAGAACATAGGATCAAAAATCAATCACCCAAGACTCCTTGCAAGACAGAAAGACCACAGATGAAAACGAGATAATATAGAAGAGCAACGAGTGGATCAAAATTGAAATCGTTAGCGAGAATCAAGAAAGGCCTAAGTATATCCAAGAATGGATGTCCACGAGTTAGAGTTAAGAAGAAAAACAACAAATGTTTGATCAAACAAATAAACAAAAACAATTAAAAATACCACGTTTATTTTTATATATTTACATAAATCGGTAATTTTTAGCATCACATCTAATCAGATTGTTTTCGTTAAATAGGTAGGCAACTGCACAAAAATGCCCTAAGTATATTGAATGCAACATTAAAAAATACAACCAACACAATAAAAATTAAAAACTAACATAATATTAAAGCCTAAAAATCAGTCCTCAAAATAATACGATAAAAGAACATACAATGTATAATATAGATACTTTAGAAACAATGGACATTTTTAACAATAACTAAACTAAAGATAACGATAATAAATTTATGGCAAAGATCCATACATGTTATATTCACCGCCACTATAAAAATCACCATTAGTATACGTGAATGATGACGAGTTATTCTGAAAAACGTAATTACTTGGAGGAACCTTGGGTACGTAATAAGAAGTTTCCGTAGCGGTGACACCGTTTGTTTGTTCTGTCTGTGCCTTCTTTTCCAATTCAACAATTTTTTGTCTTTTGTTTTTGTATCTAGAAACGCATTAGTATTTTATAGCATCACAAATTTGTCAAAATAGAATTTTCTTTACCTTCTGTTTTGAAACCAAATCTTGACCTGCGTAGGCGTCAACTTCAACGCTTGGGACATTAGTTCGCGTTCGGGCGCCGTAAGGTACTTCTGCAGCTTGAACCGTTGTTCTAGCTCGTACACTTGGGCCTGAGAAAAAAGCACACGTGGCTTTCTTTTGGATCTTTGGCGTCCGGACTTCCGCAACTCCGTTTTCGAACTGGTCACTTGCTGTTCTGTAATGTGAAAAAGGTTTTTTTTTAGGTAATTTATGGGCCTAGACCTGACAAATTTATTCGAACAAGTTTTTGTGTTGATGGGTATGAAAACATAACTGCGGTGAATATCTTTTTTAAAAAATCTAGACCTAAACAAATTTCGTCACATGACAAAACTTTCCAGGGGAGTGAGAAAACTTGTTAGTAATTTTCCAACACAAAAATCTTAGTCAGCATAAATACATCGAATATGTTTCGACTCATAAATCACTGGTCGTTTTTATACCGTTAACATTTTATTATTTCTATCAGAAAGGACTACCAAATTAAATGTCGATCCTAGACAAAATCAGTCAAGAAATAAATATGTTAATTCTCAAAGGCACACGATCCTAAAAGATCGGGTATCTTACAATAACAAACACATGTGAGAAGTTTGGGACGTAAAATATTACACGCTTGTTAAGAAAGGATGATTTCTCAAAATTGACATCTATTGTAACGATTTCTTGAAAGGGCAAGCAGCAAAAACACATTATTTACTAATATACAGGGTGGCCCACAGGCAACCAAATCGATCTATTTATATAAGAAAAACTGTACATATACAAAAGAATTTTGAAAATTTGACAGTAAGTATACTAATTTCAATGTCTAAAATATTTTCAAGATGGTGGCACTTCCGGTTTTGCCGGAAGTAGACTTCAACTTGTCTGTTTTAAATTAATCACTCCTTATATTATTTATTATTTGGTTTCTACTCAAGGTTCAAAAATTAAAAAATGCCCACTGTCGGACAAAAGTAGAGCAACTTTTTGTAGTTTTTTAGTAGACCTTTCTGATTTTGGCATTTTTTATGAATGTCCACGTTCATTAATGAGTAACTGCCTGGAAATATCAACCAAACGCCTTTCTTCCGAGAAAACGTCTACCTTCTACCATTTGTTCTAAGTCCAGACAAATTGGTTTACCTTTTGGCATATCCAAATCTGTCTGTCATGAGTGTTGCAGTTTATTCTGTTACTTTCGTAAAATAGAAATATGTCTTGTGTTTAGTTATGTAAATCGACCTTAAGTTAATGACATGGGTGACAGATATGAGGGAAATTGGGGTTATGTTATTAGAAAAAATTGCATGATGTAAGGTTGAAGTCGTTGAAGAGAAACCAATAAACCAGTGTCCTTAGTAAATTATTACTAGGTGTTTTATTCACATATTAGACTCAAGTATAACATGGCATGGCGGTGCGGAAATAAAGAAGGTACTTTGTGCGGAGTAGAAAAAAAAATATAGTAAAACTTGTGACTAAGAAATAAAAATAAAAAATGGCTAGCAACTTGAAACCGCCAGACTCCAGAAACTTTGAGCCTAGATGGTGACCTGAGAGAAAACTTCAAAAGATGGAATCAGAAGTTTACAATACATAATTATAATATGCTGGTTTCCAGGTGAGAGTAAAGTGGCTATATTGTTGCAAACAATAGGACCCTAGAAATTTACAACATAATGGAAGTAGATGGAGAGACAAATAGAGACTAAATTAAGCTCCTTGATTTGTTTGAATGGCACTTCATGTCTCCGTCAAATAAGACTGTACTCCAGGCACATTTTTAACTGTAGGGTACAAAAACAAGGAGAGACTGTAGTCTAACCTGGAATATGATTGGTTGTGGGGTTCTAAACTCAAACTGAAAGAAAGGCTGCTCAGGGAACGCCAGTTGACACTTAAAAGCTGTATAGAAATATGCCAGGCTACAGAAATGGCAGAAATGCAAACCAAGCAATTTCACAAGGAATCACAGGCGACACAGGCCATGGTACAAGCGGTGGGCAATAAAATATTCTACAATAATTATCTACAGAAATACAACTCTATGCAAAATGAAAGGCCTAGTATGAGTGGGTATGAAAACCTGCCTCCAAAATCAAATACATAGTGGCCAGCAGTCACCGTGCAATAAATGTGGTAAATTTCATCATATGCCAAATAGATATCCGGCTTACAGAAAACAATACACAAGCTGCAGGCGTTATGGACACTTCGCCAAAATGTGTGAACTTTACAAGAAAGTACATGAAGTAAATGTACAAGTGAGTTACAGTCTCAAGAAAGTGGGATCATTCTTCCCAAGATAATTTTTTTGTTAGCTTAGTTAACATTGAAACTAGTGATGTTTGTGCTGTAAGCCAGGAATGGTTGCAAACATTAAACTTGAATGGTCAAAACATACAGTTTAAACTATATACAGGCGCTTAGGTGAATATCATAGATAAAAATACCCAACGAAGCTGAGGAAGTACGGTGGCAGTAATATTCCTCGGTCAGACTAGCCTTGAATGTTTCACAAATGAGGTTACCCACACTGAGAAAAGTCCCAGGAGAAAATTCTTTGCTGGTTTTTTTTAGCTGTTACAGTGGAAAATGTTTTAGAGGTAGCAATGTTATTTTGCTTCTTCAGAAAAGACCACTCTGCTGAAACTACTTTATTGAAACTGCAAAGATATTTCTTATTCCAAAACCAAACTTTGCTGTTATAGCAAAATTAAAATTTTATGAAAAGATTTCTGCTTCTCCGAAATAGAACTTTTCTAAGATAGATAGATAGATACTTTACTGTTGCAGCAAAAAAAAATTCAGTACAGTAATGTTTTTTGCTACCCTAGCCAAATAACTTAACTAAAAATACCGTTCGGACATTTCCGTGATTTCTTCGGGTCCAAAAATAACCGATAAAATATGTTTCGTGTTCATTTTCTTCCATTTTAGTTTAGTAGCTATCGCCGTACGGTGTGGATCGTGGATGCTGTCGAGTCAAGTCGATTGTCGGTCGCTGGGAATCTTTTTGGAAATGGTGCCAGCTTATCCATCAAAACTAGCAGAAACAACTCTAGCGCCAAATTTTTCATTAATTGACATTATTTCAGATCAGGTAATAAAAGTTTAGGGGTTTAAATAGAGTTTATTTATCTCCTGGTTTTGTTATGATGGACGCCCTACTACATATTTCCAAAGATTTCCAGCAAAATATTTTTGCTATTGGTGAGACAAATAACTTCCCATGGCTAATAAAACACTTGGCTGATTCTGGCAAGAAATTTTTTGTTCTGAGACAAATGCTTTCCTATTTCAGGAAGCATTTCTAATAACAACAACAAATATCTTTTCTGTCTTAGCAATCTACTTTTCAATAGCAAAAAAGGATGTTTTTGAGGGTATATAACCTCTTTTCTAGGACAGCATAGTTACTTTCCTACGACAGCAAAGTAGCTTTTCTATGCCAGCAAATAAGTGACCTTGTAGAAACTGTGAGTAAATTCTTTATAAAGTCACTTTGCTACCGCAAATAAACGGTGCCAGTAAAGTTATCTTTTCGGCGGTAGTAAAGATCTTGGCTGTCCCCTATGTAGCCAAAATTTTTGGCTACGGCAGCAGAAAAATTAGCTATGACAATGAAAAAATTTTCTCAGTGCAAGTACATTGAATTTGAAGAGATTGATTTTAACGCTCCCTGTGTATTAGGGTTACCAACGATTGCAAGGTTACATATTTTACAGAAAATATACTCAATTCATTGCCAAAATAATTGGTCTAATGGGTCAATTCCTTGCACATCTGTAAGCAAATCTATAAGCTTATAGCTGCCTAAAGACAATTTGCAATTCTGCATTTTCTGAAGCTTACAGAAAATTTTATAGAATCGTTAATATTTTCGATCGAGAGTTTGGCAATCCATGCGTTTTGCAGTGTGTATAGGCTTATGGAAAGTTATAGATTTGCTTACCTCAGAATTGACCCGTAAGTTGATAAAAACTTAATGATGGTTTGTTTCATGGTATAGGTGAGCTGGAGCATGTTTACAAAATTGAAGGACAACGCAATAATAATGAAGAAAATGTGAAAATTGAGTTAGATAGAATGGAGCGCATGGGTGTAATAAAGAAAGTTACAGGACCAATAGAGTGGGTTAGCTCTATGGTAGTAGTGAAAAAGCTAGATAATTCCCTAATAATTTGTCTGGATCCCTAGAATGTTAACAGAGAAATAGTTAGACAACGATTTCAACTGCCAACATCTGAAGAAATCGCAAGCAGAATGCCAGCAGAAAAAAAAAATTGTGTGCTTGATGGTAGCAAAGGATTTTTTCAAATTAAACTTCATGAAGTAAGCGAATTATCAGCCACCTGTAATGTAGGAAAATGGGGGAGATACTGCTATCAAAGAGTTCCATATGGACTGTCGTCAGCACCAGAGGTCTTCCATAGGTGCTTTAGAAATATTTTTGAATGACTAGATGGAGTAGAAGTTTTTATTGACGATATTATAGTCTGGGGTTGAGATCCAGCTATGCATATAGACATACTAACAAAAGTGTTGGAAAGGGTTTGTTTAGATGAAGTAAGGTATGTAGGCCATATTTTAAGTAAGGAAGGATTGAAACCAAATCATGATAAAATTAAAGCTATACAAAGAATGGAAATTCCTTAGTGTGAAAAATATTTTCAAATCCTTCTGGGTATTGTCACATATTATGTCTCTAAGTTTCTTACAAATCTTTCGAACTTGACCAGTAATCAGAGAATACTTTTGAAAAATGATATTGTATTTGTTTGGCGAGATAAACACACAGAGGACTTTAAGGAAATTAAGCATAATGTTGACGAAAACCCGAGTTCTACGTTATTTTGACAAAACCCATAGTATAAAGTGTTGATAGTAGTAGCTCAGGACTAGATGCGGTTTTATTACAATTTGCCAGTGACTTATGCGTCCAAAGCCCTATTGGATACTCAAAAATCATGGGCTCAAATTGAAAAAGAACTTCTGGCTATTACTTCTGGGTGTGGAAAATTTCACCAATACGTTTATGGTAGATCAATAGTTGTTGAGACTGAACATAGGCCAATGGAAAATATTTTTCGAGAACCCTTGGATGAAATTCCATTACGACTGCGAAGATTAAGACTAACGTTATAAGCATATGACATAATAGTTAAATATATACATGAAAATGATTTA